GAGAGAGAGAGAGAGAGAGAGAGAGAGAGAGAGAGAGAGAGAGAGAGAGAGAGAACTAACAAAAAAGCCCCAGCAGTCAGGCAAGTTATTGATGTTAAAAGGAACAAGAACAAAAGGCAAGGGATTGGGGTTGTGACTCAGCTGTATAGCACTTGCCTAGCACGTGYGAGGCTCTGAGTTTGATCCTCAGTACCATATAAAAATAAATAAAATGAAGGTATTGTGTCCTACTACAACYAAAAAAAAAAAAAAGGCAAGAAGTTGGGAGAATAACTGTATTAGACTTTCCAGTGATGGCAAAGATTTCCATCTTTCTTGAAAGAGAAACCATTGAATTCTGAGCAGAGTAATGACATGAGTTCAGTATYGAAAGGATCATTTGAGCTTCTGTTTTGTGAAGAGACTATAGGGAGCAAATGCAGGAGCAGAGAGACCTGCTAGGAAGTTGTTCTCATAAACCAGGCAAGATGACAGTGGCTGAGAACACAAGCAGTCATGGRGTAGTGGGGAGTGGTTGGAATCTGGACAGGTTTGGATATACCAAATGTCAAGAGTAAGAAAGAAGAATGGAGGATATCTTCAAAGTTTTCTGGCTTGAGCAACTAGAAGAAGAAAACTGAGATTTACTTAAGTGTGGAAGACAGCGGGGAGGTGCATTTCAAGGAAATCCAGCAGCTCAGTTTTAGTGTCCTTAAACTTGTTYAAACAGGCTTGTTTGCACAGGCAGTTGGCTAAGGTCCTTGGGATTGGCTACTAAAGGAATCAGGTTAGACGTATCAGAATTGAAGTTTGATTCCTAGTTAGTGAARGAATGGGCTGCTTACCTTCTAACCCAGTTCTTGTCCTTAGTTGTAAATCCTGAACTCTGGGTGTGTTTATATATTTGAGGTTGCTAGATTTTGGAGATAAAAAACATAAGATACCCAGTCAAACTTGAATTTTAGATAAACAATGAATCAATTTTTTTTATAAAGAATATCCAAGTATTGCATGAGACATACACTGAATTTCTTTACTGTTGATTTGAAATTCAAATTTAACTGAGTGTTCTGCATTTTATCTGCTAACCCTAGTATTAAGCCTTTCTGTGCCAGACTTGAGARTGGCTAGGTTCAGGTGCAGTGGCAGCTGCTGTTGCTGGTTTCTGGAAGATTAGGAACTCCCAAAGCTTTGGTGCAGATTTAGGAAGTCTATTCTATACTTGTTCCTAATCAAGGGCTCTGCCCAAACCTATGGGCCAAGCTGTGATAAAAAGCATTCCTTCAAGGTGCCAGGCCCTGAGCTACACTTGTTTCASTAATAAAAACTCCCCTTGGGAATTACTGGCCTCACCTTATGGATAAGGATAAATGTATCCAAGGTCATGCAGTTGGTAAAAGCCTTCCAGTCAAACCCCACTGGTTTGATCTTTTCCACCACTTAGTTTATATGTTACCTTAGGCAAGTTACTTAATTTCTCTGAACCTTAACTTTTTATTTATAAACTGGAAATTGTCATGCAGTTTTTTGTTGTTGTTGTTGGTTAATGGGGATTGAATCCAGGGGTGCTTTATCATTGAGCTACAATCCCAACCCTTTTAAAAATTTTAAATTTTGARACAGGGTCTTGCTAAGTTGCTTAGGACCTCACTAAGTTGCTGAGGCTGGTCTCAAACTTGAGATTCTCTTGCTTCAGCCTCCCAAGTCTCTGGGATTATAGATGTGCCTCACCACACCCAACAGAAATTGTAATTCTGTCTTAAAATTGTAATTCTCACTGTGAGAATTGAGATGAAGTGTGTTAAGTGATCTGTCCAATGCCCATTATTTGCTAAGAACTCAAAACCAAAACAAACTTAGGATCTATCCATCTCTAAAACATGTATTTGAAAAATAATATCTTTCTGTGGTCTCTGAAGATCAAATGGAAATGACATTTAAGGGAAAAAGTTGAAGAACCCATTTAATGTACATAAAGCCCCTTGGAACAGACCTTGGGACTTGTGCAAAAGAAAAAATAATAAATAAATGAGGGATGGKGCTGTAGCTCAGTGGCAGAGTGCTTGCCTCACATGTGTGAGGCACTGGGCTCAATCCTCAGCACCACATAAAAATAAACAAGTAAAATAAAGGCATGCTGTCCATCTACAACTACAAAAAATTAAAAAATAAATGAAAGAAGAGAAGTCCTCTTTCAAAAGAAGGTAGCACAGGCTGGGGAAGCTGGGGAACCTGAAGGGCCTGCTCTCCCTTACCTGGGCTCTCATCTCAATCACTTACTTTTTCTTTTCTTTTCTTTCTTTCTTTTTCTTTTCCTTTCTTTCTTTCTTTTTTTTGGTGATGGTACTGGGATTGTATTCAGGGGCATTCTGCCTCTGAGTTACAACCCCAGTCGTCCTTTTTAAATTTTTTTATTTTTTAAATTTTGAGACAAGGCCTCACTAAGTTGCCAAGGCTGGCCTCAAACTTATGATCCTCCTGCCTCAGCATCTTGAGTGGCTGTGATTACAGGCATGTGTCACCATACCTGGCCATCTCAGATACTTTCTGCCAAAGTGTTTGTACTCAAATATCTGGAAGCTCCCCATTTTGCAGATGTGGAACATTCTTACCATACTCAGCACAGGTGTTAAACCTATAGCATATGCACTTGAACATCACACTCTTAGCAGTATCTCTAGTGCCTGCCAGCCAAACGCT